GACCTTTCTTTGATCCAATTCCTTTGATTGTGTAGATTATTTTAAAAGAAGACTCTTTTAGAGCGATGTGTCCATACTTGATTAAATGCTTCTGTATTGAACTAGTAATTGTTTCGCATTCTCCTTTTGAAAGCCACGTCGGATAGTGTTCTGAGATGCGTTTGGAAAGTGAACGCTATGTGCGGCCAATGTAACCTACGCCACATGAGAAAGTAAATTTGTCGATGTAGCCCAAAGCAGAAGTTTATCGTTAACACATCCATGAATAGTAGGTCGGCTTGAGAAAACAATTTGAAGCTTAGCTGAGTAAAACGTTTTATTCAGCGATTTTGAAAACCGTTTATTCAAGATTTCAGTAGCCGTATCTCCTTTAAATTCGATATTCATAGAATGAGTTTTCTTTCGTACTGTTTGTGCTTTTTTCCAGATGTTGTCTAGGTGTTAAGTTACTATCGACAAAACTAGGTAGATAACCATTCCTAATGAGTAACTGTCAAAGGCGAAGTAGTTTATCACGTATTGTGTCAGTAGAATATATTTGCCTGATCATTGAGGATAGAGAGTGAATTAAGTTCCTCTTTCTACTCATTTACTATTACCCTTAAACAAGTTTTCATTATTATATTTATTATGTTTTTCCTTTTTCTTCATATCTGTCAAGTGGACAATTATCTTTTATAATTCAGACCCGTAAATTATTTCCATTCTTATATTCGTCTGGATTGTGGACGCCAAGTTTTTCTCAGGAATATCTATTTGAAGCGAGTTGTTCGTCGAATACGGTAAAATAATGTTTTCTAATTCCTAGTGATGACCCAACCTTTTGTAGAACAATAAACTCACTTTTTTTTACTATCTAGGTAAACATAACTGGAACCTGTTAAATGATCCCATAACATTTAGTTCAAGACCATGAGTATCTTCGAAATTCTACAAAACACCAAAGTTAATAATATTCACCAAATTCTTACAAATACCTCGTATCAATATAAATGACCTAAAATTCTGATAAGAAGAGATCAAGTGTAGCTTCAACTGATTCGAGAGAGTTACATATAAAATTTAAAACTTATTTCACACTAACTGAAACTTAAAATATGTATCATTGTATTTAGACTCGTTGACTAAGTAATAATTCACTTGTAACAAGATGTCAAAGTCATTAAGTCAATTCCGCGTGATAATTTTTTAAATGGATAATGCTGTGATTTCATAAGTCAGAAGAGATACATTCAGCGCTATTTTGATGTTCTATTATTATTATTCTTCTGTTGTTACTTTGTAGAAAAGATATTTTGTATCTTCAACTTAAATAAATTCTGATAATCCACACATACAAGAAAACTATCGGAATCTCATGAACTGATAATACACTACTGAAAATATATTGTGATAATGTCAATTATGTAACAGAGATTATAAATTTCCGAAGTCTTAATATGGCTGTGAAATTTATCGATTCGATTAGAAAAAAACATCTAAAGAATCAAATTCACTTGGTATTGTTTACTTGAATCTTCTCATTGATTTTTAATACTGAAATTGATCAGTTTCTTATTGGCATATGTGCATACTATGTGTATCGCCTCGAAACTGCCTTGATTCACAAGTATTATAAGCAAAGATGGATAATGGCTAGCAGTGAACATCAACTCTGTGATGCAAGTACATTCAGCTGACGAGTTTCAAATAGGACGAAACGCGTGTCCTGAATTCCACTGCTAGCCACTGTCCATCTTTGCTTATAATCTTAAGATTCAGCTTTAATTCTGGTTTCATTTTACTTTTTAAACAAAATTAATTTTCTGTTCACTTTAGAATTAACTTACAAACAATATTGAATGTGTCAAATGAAGCTAGACCACCATGGAAAATCTGGAGGCACTGGACGGCCGTTTCGTCCTAGTATGGGACTCCCCAACAGTGCCAGCATCTAGTGGTGTAGAAGCTTAACTTATTTTATTTGAATCTGTCAAATCGAAATGGTTCGAAACTTATGAAACTTATGTACCTGCACCCATATTAATGCTCACACTGAAACTCGAACCCAGTGCCTTTTGCTTCAAAATCTACTGAGCTACTGAATTTAAATAGTCACTCCCCTGTCCAAAGAGGATGGATTTTCATTCATTTGTCAGCAACTGATCAACTGCAGACCTTAACACCAATGGGAAGACCTTAAAAAGTTCTTAGAAATGAATTCACGTAGTCTATTTTTCTAAGATATTCCCTATTCTATCAATAAAATGTTTATTTGAATATGACAGGCTTAATGTAAGAGCCAAATTTAAGTAGGGCATGATGAAATCTGGGAACTGTATGATTCACGTTGAAGTTCAAGGAGAAAACTCAGACGTTATGTTGTTACTCCTGTATATACGACACAACAGAACTCTTGCTATTATGGTGAAAACCGTTAAGTAGTTAGAACGACTAATGATGAAAGAGAATCTATTACATTTCCTTCTTTTATATTTCACAATGTATAATGAATAATTATATATCTCTATGTGATCTCAAACATAGAAATGAGTAGATTTCGTCTCATAATGTTTAATGTCATGCAAATTTTACTCAACATACACAAGGGAAAAGGCAAGATGATAAAATGCAACACAGAGAACACCAGCCCAGTCATACTTGATGGAGAAACTCTGGAAAGTTTCATGTACCTGGATAAGATCATTGATGAACAACAAGGATCTGATGCAGACCTAAAGGTAAGGATTGGCAAAGCAAGGGCAGCATTCCTACAGTAGAAGAACATATGGAACTAAAAACAACTGTCAACCAATATCAAAGTCAGAATCCTCAATACGATTGTCAAGACAGTTCTATTGTACGGAGCTGAAACTTGCAGAAATACCACAACCATCATCGAAAAAGTACAAGTTTTTATAAACGATTGCCTACGCAAGATAGTCAATGTCTATTGGTCGGGTACCATCAGCAACAACCTACTGTGAAAGGGAACGAACCAACTTCCAGTTGAAGAGGAAATTAGGAAAAGACGTTGGGAGTAGGTCGAACATATATTGAGGAAATCATAAGCGTACATCACGAAGCAAGCGCTAAATTGGAATTCTGAAGGGAAAAAGAAAAGTGGAAGACCAAGGAACACATTGTGCCAAGAATTCGAAGAAGACATCAAAAAGGATAAACAACAACTGGAAAGGATTGCACAGGACAGAGTTGGATGGAGAATCCTGGTGGGTGACATAAGTAAGTAAATAATTAATTTTGACTCAACACTGATGATCGAACTAATTAAGACAATTTCTAGTCTAAGTGATTAAAATCACAGTGCATGATGATTTGTTAGCTATTTAAACAGAGTCAATACTTTAAGCTCAAAATAATCCTATTTTAGTGAAGTGTAACATTAGATACTTAGTCATACAATGATAACATTTTTGTTTGGCGGTTGAAACATCAAACGCTTTCCAGTTTCCCTTTTAGCATATAAATAAATATTAATTTTGAGTGTTCAAAATTACGATACTTAGTACTCGTTGATTACTTTAAGGCTGTTGACATGAAATACAACACATTGTAATGTTAAAGTATACACACAAATACACACTTATCAACATTTTCATGCTTTGTGCACCTCATTATCACATCACAACTAGGTATCATTATTTAATTGAAACTAGATTACTGACTCATTGGAAAAAAAATATAATTATAAGCAATCGAATACTGTGCCAAACAGACTGAAATCATCATGCCTAGCAAGTAGATAATTTTAAACATTGTGTAATTACCATATGATTATAATGTCTAATAATAACAATAATAACCGTAACGATTAAGTACACCATAAAAAGTTATTCAAACTATTAAAAAATCACCATTATTTACAGGTATTGATATTAACCGTGTTGACAACCATAAATAATCTCTACACAGAAGAATGCGGAAAAAAAATATATATATATTCTGCCTCTTCCCCCCCCCTCACACATATGCACAAATCCTTTCTATTTTTCATAAAAAATTACTATTAATAAAGTTACCCTTTTAGAAAAACAAACATCACTCAAGTGTATGATATTATTACTTCTCTCTCTCTCTCTCTCTCTCTCTCTATATATATATATATATATATATATATATACGTGTGTTTATGAGTTGATTATATAACTACTCAAATAACCTGCAAATATAGATTTACTAACATATTTTGTTCATTAAAACAATAACATAATAAATCTGTGATGATTTTCTTTTATTGTTTATTAACTAACGAGCACACTTTCTATGCATGTTTACGTGCGTGTATGTGTGGGGGGTATCCATAGCTAGTTTTTGTTTGTCTGTGTTTACGTATTTGGCACAAATTATGAAAATTTTTAATTACCGTCTAATTATGACTACATTTTTATGTATAAAACGATGTATAAATTTCAGAAAATCACAGAACGATTATAAACAGTTAACTGTGATCAAAATTATGTATTCCTGTATTGTAGGGTTACTATGATTTTAATGTTTGAATGGTATGAGGTTACAGATTGGGCGGTGGTGTTCAATTCGGCTCACGATATATTATTTATGGATTTATAAAAGAATATAAGAGTAGGATTTACAATAAGAGCATAAGTTTATAAAATATAATCGGTTCAGGTAGTTGACATGTGTTTTACGGAACCGAATGCCACCATTTAACCTGGAGGCTATTTGTGTAAGAGTACGTTGGGAGAAGGCCAGCTTATGACGTGTTAGCAGATTATGAAGTAATCGCCCATTCCATTGAGGCAGATTACCTTCCAGGTGAAGATGTGAAGAATAGTTATGATTTATTAGAGGTGTGGTCATTTGGATTGATACATGTTCATGGCTTCCCACTAGAACTCCGGAAATTCCTTCTCAAAATTAGTCCACTACTGTGCACATGATAACTTTGAGTATGGGGTCGTGGAGATAGTTGAATTTCATTGAATTTAAAATTAAAACCAAATAAAAACAAACAGTTTCACATTAAACATAAATCATACCTTTTTCCTTTGTTTCCATAAACCAACCAGAGGAAGGGGAAGTTGTTCTAACGATTGAAGAATTTTTTCAAACAATTCATTCGAGTTACATTGAATTGACTAAAAACAAACGGAATGAGAAGAATTACTAAAAAGGCAAAGTAATCGTGATTATTTGATCGAACGACGTCATTATGATAAAGTTTGTGTTGAGAATTGTTGGATGCAATTTGTTGATTCAGGACTGGCCTGCGTCAACACCTAAACTAAGGATAGGGAGTGAAGCACTCGAACGCATCGACAACTTCACTTATCTTGAGACTCTGATTAGCCTTAATGGGTTGGTGTCGGACTCAATCTCAACACAGATTCAAAAAGCTCGTTTGTCTCTTACCAACTACGGCGAAGGCGAGATATCTGCCTATCAATTAAAGGACGAGTATACAGTTCGTACCGTTCTACTTTACGGTTGCGAAACGTGATTATTAGGCGTAGAAGAAACTCGTAAGCTACTAGTATTTGATCACAGATCTCTGAGAAATATTACCAACATCTGCTGGGACCACCGGGTAAGTAATAGTGAGATTAGACACAGCATATTAGGGAATGATGGTAAATCAGTTGATGAGATTGTGAATCTTCACCAATTGAGATTATTAGGCCATGTGTTGCGTATACCTGAACACCCATTACCACGACATGCAATGCTGACTAGTGTTGGAGACGAATAGAAGAAAGTTAGGAGTGGCAAAACCGTAACGTGGCATCAGTCCTCGAAGTCACTAACTTCTGGTGTGAGTCATGTTGATAGATTCAGACCACTCGGTTTGGATCCGCGTGACTATCGTAACCAATGGTTGGAGACTGTGGGTGACATGATTCGGAATAGATCACAATGGTGTCGGTGTATACACTCTTTATCTTCCGTTAGACCGTGAGTTTAATATTGCTTTATACCTTTCTTTCTACTAACCATTTCTTTTCCTTTGTATTATATCCTTAAATTCAACCTTTTTTGACTACCATTGAAGTAACTATTTGTATGACTTTGGTGTTCATCTTGTTATGCTAATGAGGTGTGTTAACTTGGACCGATGCATATATGTGCCTGGTCTTATGTTGTAGTTGACTGACTAACTCTTACTTATTCTTATCCTCATAATTAGCGAAATTCTTATCTCAAACTAGGAAAAAAGTGAATATACCCCAGGTGGATAAAGTGATATTCCATTTCGAAACTCGTCAACTTCATTGTATCGTATGTGTATGTGTTTTGTTTGTTGAAATTTATAATCATTTATTTATACTTCAATAGTACTGAAGTTTTAGATAGAGCAATACTACTCTATTAAAATCCAATATTCAAACCAATTTAATACTGTACATCTTAAAACATTAAACATATGAATAGAAAGAATACATGATTTAAGTTATTGAAATATTTGTATCAAATATATATGTGTATATTTCAGTACATTAGGTGGTCTGATATAAACCAATTTAAACAAAATATAATTAGGAATGAGTTTAATGAGAACACTGAGCTGAATAAATTGATTCCTAAACAGTTACTTTGTAAAAACAATAATAATAAAAGACAAACATAATATTATATTAACAGTAAGAGTTCTAAAATAGTCAAGAGCTCATTACAAACTCTATGCCAAATATGAATTGTAGAATCGATTTGGTAAGTTGATGATACTGAAACTTCTATTGTAAATTAAATAAATATTGAATGGTTTCGTCGTGAACGATAACACAGGCTGGGACAACCAAATGTATTGGAATACAAAATCAAAGAATCTCTTGGTAAAATCTGAGATCCATACAGTAAATACTTCATTTGTAAAATATCAGTCAGTCTTCTTAGACTTTACTGTTCTTTCGTTTCCACACCAATCACTCTCTGTTCTCGTTCTCTTCTCTTCAATTTCCTCAACCTTCTACCGTCAGGCATTCCACTTTCGATTGGTGACACATACTACTTATATCTCTTGATATCAGTAGCACATACCACAGTTGTTTTATTTTAGCTTGGGATTTTTTCGGGACGTAATTCACTCGAGGTATTTTTCAAGAATTGAAACTACAGACCTTAGAGAATTAAAATGATAAAGTCAGTTTTATCTGTACAAAGCCATTGATTCTATTGTTTGCTCTCAAAACTAGTTCAATGGAAATTATGAAGACTGAACAACTCAACTCTTATTATGATTACAACACTGATTAACTTGAATTTGCGTTCGAACCAACCGTAATTCACCCAGAAATCTTCATTGGCTATCGGTGACATTTTAATAATGAAACTAAATACCGATTACCGATGCTCTAAATCATTATAAACTGGGTAAAATTTATTCACCGACCATCAAATATTTAGTAGCATACTCATCTATAATCGTTATCCGGTTAGTCCGATACTAATGTATGACTTATAACATATTGGACTAGCTTACAAATATTGCTATTTAAAGTAACAATGATAAAGCGTAACTACTTGGGACAACAAATTATTCTATCTATCAAAGAAGTCGTATTTTATCACAAAGTGATCTAATCTATTAAAAAAGTAATATCCACCATTGTTGTCCACTGATCAATGATTGAATGTGAAAATAACATATAGGTAGCACAAAAAAGTAACAACAAGTAACGCTAGAAAGAAAAATGAAAATCGTATGTTTACTATCTAAAATGTGTAGACAAGCAGGTGTAGTATTTTCTTTCTAAGTAGGTTGGTTGCCTTCACGTTTGTCCGGGATCTTATGTTTTCCGTTAACGCCTTGAATGATATTATCCCATGATGCTACGATACAAATGATTAGCTATCTAAACTCAGTAGCCGAGTAGATAACGCAACGGCACCAAGTTCGAGTCCTGGAGCAAATATCAACTCTATGATGCCGGTACATCCAGATGACAAATTTTAAATAGGAAGAAATGCTCATCCTTTATTCCACAACAAGTCATATTACATCTATTATATATCAACTTATGTCATAATTGCTATACGGATACAATCTGGAAAGGATCCTTATAAGCCAGCCAAGACTGACCAAAATTCGATCAAAAATATCAACAATGGGATAACTTAAGCCATTTCAAATTTAATTGTGGATTAAAATAAGTTCCAAGAAGTCTGTTAAGTAAGACTAAAGTTGTGTGTTTACTAGTGACTTATTTTAAGACAAATTGTCCAGGTTCACTTGAATAACGGTAAACAATGGAACTGATCTATATCAGAAGTGAAAAGTCATCACCATTGGGATTGGATGATCATACCTTGAATTGATTGAGGTTGGAAATACAAACCAGTAAGCCTCAACTCAGTAGTTTGAGGATAACACGCTCACAGTGTGGCTTAGAATTGCTAGATACCATCTCATAAATGGTTGTAGGTCCACACCTCAGAGAAGTTTAGACAGGGACGAACTAATTACTCAAAGTCCCCTATATTTCAATAGTTATTCAATACTGGATAGTTTTTTCAATGTAGGTAGAAGGTTTTTAGAAGTGTGCACTCCCAACTCACATACAAGGTAGAACACAAGACCTTTATATCCCACTGAAAGCTATTTATATTAAACCTATTGTAATAAAATTTAATAGTTCATATTCCCAATTTCAATCTTTCAGCGATATAGTACAATAATCATTCAACATCATTAAAAATGACTGACCGACTGACTTTGACATAGATAAGCTCCATTGGTTACGACTTATTGTTGAAAACTTCTGAAATTTATCTCGAAGTTAATCACTTCATTTGGAAGTAGAGGTAATAATTTGAATTAAATCCCACAAAAAAATAACTATTTGCTAAGCGATTAAGTGACACTTGAAGTGATAGGAAAAATGCAAATATGTGTTAAATAAACGTTTCTAAACGTATCAGAAATGAAAGTAATTAAATCAAATTCAATTTGAAGAGATATGGAGAGGAACAACATATGTGTAAAGCATGAGTATTGAGTAACCTTGTAATGCAGGAATACTTAATGAATTTTTGAACCAGAGATAGACCAAGGTAAAAAAAACCCGATCAGTCCATTTCTCTCGGCAGTACAGTCTCACTTCAGAAATTCTTACGACCATCTTTTATGTAGTTAAAAAGGAGTCGGATTCTGATCGTATCTGATGAATTAATTTTAATATCTGGTAGATAGTTGAAAAATGTTTAGTTTGTGTTAGCCTTTTGGTGTTATTTGTTAAACTGATCGAAACTTACTTTGAATGATAAGAAGTTGTACAAATTCTCATATGAATATTTAAGAATGTTTCATTGTTTAATGATACAACTCAATAATCTTGTAGATATTTACGTAATAAAAAAGTATTTATGAAGAGTCTATTGTATACTCAGATGTGCTAAACATTAATAAGATGGATTTTGTTTTTTGCTAAAAATGTCATAATTGATACTTTAGTAATTAGTTTATTGATCTACCATCTATTAAAACACAACTTAGATAGTTGAAGGTCTAGTATAAGTTCAGATCCATTGAGATGGTATATCTGTAATTTTAAAAGGACCGGTAGACATAGTGATATTTGAAACTGTCTTAATCAACGTCGTGACCATCTTTATTGTCTAGTCATTTTAACAGTAAATGATTTTCTGAAGGATTGATTATTTGATGACTGAATCGTGATCAATGTGAAGTCAAGCAAACCTGTAGATCGCATTCATGATCAGTATGGAGGGTTACGGAGATTGTTGAATGTTACTGAGATCACGAGTTGATCCAAGTTAAACAACCACTGAAAACCAGTAAACACTGGACAGCTGTTCTGTCCTACTCAGCAGCAGACATTCACTACCTCGACACCAGGGCTTGAACCTAGGACTTTCAGTCTCATTCGCAAACGCTTAACATCTTTACCACTGAGCTGGATTTAGTTGACCGTAATAAGCATGCATGAGATTGGTTATTACTTAGTGAATAGTCAACTCATTACAATAAGACAAAAAAAATCACAAATAAATCTTAGGATACCTTATCAAATTATAGTTAAAAATATATTTCCCTACACGGAAGTAGAAGTTAGTATAAGTTTATCAAAGAATCAATGATCAAAATAATCCAATGAAATGAATAAATCATAAGGAGAGAACTCACAAGAAATAATTGTTTTTCTGACTCCAATTCATCAGTAAGTGAACTGTCGACTACAAGCTGGAATAAATAATATTGATAGGAAATAATCGAAAATGATAGAAATCATTAATCTCATGGGAAATAATTGTAGATAACAACTACAATGAAATGACAAGGTGAACATTTCATAATGATTATATGATTACATAACGAAAAAATGTCCCTATAAAAATATATTATTATATACTAGAAAAATGTATTAACAATGACTTGTATAATACACAATTTAAATAATAGAATGGAAAGAATACAGTGAATTTTCCTGTTCTAGGATATATGTGATGAATTATTACTATATGATTATCTAGTCTGTGAAACGACTCTTTTCTAACGAACTAATGGTCTTATCGATGTGGGAGTAGAATTTAAAAGCACATGTGCCACTTGTTTGAAATGAGTCATGTACAACCTTTGCATGAGAAACTGAGTTTGTTATTATTGTTCCCGGTTTCGTGAAATCTTATTATGAACACCGAAAATGCATGAGACAGAGGGATGATACATGTAAGGTTGACAGATTCTTAATTCTGGAAATGAAATATCACTTGAAATGTCGGTTACCGATGGGGAACCTTACGTAATGTTTATATTTTGAGAAGTACATCTTTGCTCTTGAACTTAATTCACGTTGAAATAAACATAAAACATACGGGTCAATTTTGTATTCCTCAGGGGACTATACTTTACAACATTTATTTACCTAGCAATATATTTAATTATATTGTCAATTAAGAATGTTGCCTATTCCTTATAGACGTTTTACTCATATTACACTATGAATTAAACTAATGTAATTAGAATGTTATAGTTGATGACATTAGTTTACTATATGTAGAACCAACTTGTTTTAATACAGCCCTCAATTCATATACTTATCTGATAACTAATCAACATTTTGGATGAAGATTTATGGAAAAAATAGTTGAATTCATGAGTCAATCTAAGCTACACCACCACTGAAAACCTGGAAGCACTGGAAGGCCGTTTCGTCATAGTATGGGACTCAGTGGTGCACATCCAGGGCCCTGCAAGCTGGACCTAAGTCCAGGGCCTCTGATCTCGCGTGCGACTAGTTCACCAGTCTAAAGGTTAAGCGTTCTCACGCGAGACCGAAGAACTTGAACTAGAGTTCAGTGTGCGAGGCCGTGAATGAGCACTTCCGAAGAGATGAAACGGCGTTCCAGTGCTTTCATGTTTTCGATTGTGGTCTAGCTTAGATCGACGCATGAATTCAACTATTTTTGAATATTCCTAAAGCTTCTCTTCACTCATATTGCTTTGTTTAATCTATCTCCAGCTCTAATCAATAATTTTCTGTAAAAGTAACAAAAATTGCATAAATCTGTCGTTACATAATTCGTGCACTTATTCTAAAATGGGAAGCACCTTGAAAGAGAAGTCATAACACAAAGGAATTTACATTATTATACTACATTTATCGGTTTTGTTTTATCGAGACGTTTTTTAAAAGAAGAGGGAAAATCGTACAAAACGCCATGTTAAATATTTAATAATCTGAACAAATGATTATTTTTTATTTCTTTTTAAAGCGCAGCGTGTTACACATAGCGCGTGTGACAAACGCGTAAACCTTCTTAATCCAAAAGACCACTAGCGTACACATGATTTTCCAATGTAAGCAAAACACTATAAGGATACTTATATGTCGGTAATCTAAGCTGTATGTCTGTTAACTACAACAATCAGGGCTTTATTAAGTTTAGGAAATAAACAAAATGTAACTAGGTTTATCATTGTGGTTGCATTGATTTCGAACAACGACACACTAGGAGAGCATTAATTCAACCTTGAAACACGTGACAATGCATTGTTTACAAAATCGATAGCCCTAGCGATGAAGAATGTTCACGTGGTCAAGACATGATAATCAGTCATTTGCTCGTAAACAAAGTGGTCGGTTAATTATCATATATCTATTGTTTGCAATTTCGATGTACAAAAAAACAAATTTAGCACAGAACTATGACAATTATTTCATTTAGGATATGTTAAACAACCAACGAGAATACAACAAATACACCTATCTAACATATAGTACAACTTAACTGACATTTATACACAAAAAATAGTCTTTTTTTTAGTATCTGATCCAAAGGATATGGATAAACCAACTTATCTAGATGACTAATCTTTTGAGAACTTATTTCAATAAACTTTCAAAGTTCATAATGATTTTCAATTCATAATTTGATATCACTAAGTAATAAAGTTGGATCATATGTAATTTTCTTAACAATTATTGTGTCTGAACAACTATCCAGATCATTTTTTTGATAGTCGTTGTGATACACGATGAATAGGAGCGATCAGTAGGAAACTATGTAAGCCTTGGCTGGTCACATGTTAGTTAGTACTCATCAGTTAAGTGTATTTAAATTCTTGAGGCCACTAATTCATCACCTAACGAGATTCAAACCCAAATCATTCAGTATAAAAGCCAGAGATATCACCACTGTACTAATCGAGTGGATTTATTTTATTTTTAAAATTCATGAACAATTATTCATAGGCGAAATTTTTCAGTTTCTATCAATGAGGTCACACATATTTCTTGGTTGAACCACGTAAGTACTTTAAAGTCACGACTGAAAGAAGTAATGGTCTAGATCCGTTTAGTTGATTAGAATAAAAATATTTTTTAGACACTGATAATCAGTGATTGAAAAGTAACAATCTAGATGGTAAATCCTGTATTGAACAGTTCATTATTAAAAAAGTATTTTAGGTATATTTCGAGTTACTTCTGAAATTGGCAAAACCGATTTTCAAAACTATAATAATTCAACAGATATTAACGTGTGAATTTGTAAATTTGATGGTGAGACTATAATATATGGACGACATTTGAGCGATGCTAAAATGACCGAGAGAATGTCCACCTACTAACCACGACTAAATGAGTGTTATAAACCAGTGTGAGGAATTAGAATTATGATTTACAGTTGATGGTTAGGGTTAAGAATTAGATTTAAAGTTTTCATCACGAACTGACATCAACTGTAATGCCAAAACGCTATTTAGCCAACTGGATGAATGAATTTCGCATCGAAATTCGAGGCTCGTTATCTTATATCTGATTGGTTCGTCCATAAATTACAGTCTCGCCAAGTTGACAGTAAACAACAACTTGTATACGGCAACCTACAATAACCAATCATACCATAAACGAAAATACTAGTAAGGAAAGACATCTTGATGGAAAGGAAAACGGGTGAATAAATGTCTCAACTTTATAAATTAATAGGATACTATTAAAGAAGCCAGTCAGTTATTCAAGTAAATGAATTAGAATAATATGGGAAAAATAAGGAAAATAATTAATTTAAACTATAAGAAAATTGATTGTTTCAATTGCATTAAGTTGCTTCTTTTTAGTTTACTCTATTAGATTGTCATTCATCATTGAACTGAATGGTGGCCTAAATTTATTATCTATGATTGAGCGTTTAGTACACAAACTGTTCCGATTCACGGATTAAAACGCTAACCATAATACATCAAATTGTAATTAAGTAGATTGTGAAGTTATTTAGACGAGTAGTTTTGGTGAATTATGAAGATCGTGAATATCGCGAATCGGTAACAGGTGAAAAACCGATGAAAACCAAGTAGTATTTGATAGTTGTTTCATCTAGATTTTAGACTTCTTAGTACTGCAAATTCCCAATCCCTGTAAAGATCGAATCCAAGAATTTAAGTCCCTCTCTAAGCACGATACTACTGACTGAGCATTTGACAGTCCAATTGCCTATGAGGTCATCGTCGACACACACACTGGTCGTGAGTCCCAAAAACAAGGAAGAAACTATTTTCAAGAGCCCCTGATCACCAACGTTTAGAAAGCTAATGCCAGTAAGTGATAAAAACTTACTTTAAATTAACGTATCAATATAGGAATTCTCACTGAAGAATCTCTTCATCACACACACTAGATTTTTTATCCATTTCGAATTTTCAAATCATTTTGTTTAAAAATTAATTGTGAGCATTCGAAATCAAATCAAATATCAAAGATCTCTCAACCTCAAACTAATCGAGTATCAGAATCCAGAAAATGGATTTTTTAAGATGTAGTAATTATTCATGACTAATTTATAGAAAAAAAACTATACTCCCTGAATTTCTTAAAATAACCTATGGACTTGTAGGACAAAATCTCATTGAGAAACAAAATTAATATTTCTTTATCTCTACAAACGATGGCGAAGAACTAATGAACGCTAGTAACTCATTTCCACCTCAGAGTAGATCAGCAAAAATATGATCTTTATGGAAGATAAAATATACGATACTTATTTTTGTTGAGTTGAGAAAAAAGACACCCACTCAGACGTCTATTATTTACTACCGACTGTCTGTCTATTGACGGCAATCCATGAGAGCAATACTTTCCTAAATTATTTCCTTAACCATAAATAGAATGAGATATTTATAAAGTGAAACAGATCGATTCCTATTTATTACGAATCTAATACAAAGATAAAACTTCACAACTGTTAGTTTTAACAATCCTAACGAGTAAAATGATTGTTCCTTACCAAAAATTATTAGTAAACTTTGATGCCTATTGATTTCTCTGTTTGAATTGGTAATTTTTTAAACCAAAAAACAATCACATATGGAGATGGTAGCCAAAATTACTAATACAAAAAACTTATTTTTAGATCAATAAACTGTAATCTAAAGCTTAATTCATCATCATTATAACCTGAAAACATGTTGAAGGTAAGGAAATCAAAATAATGCTAAGAACAAATTTGATGGATTTCAGACTGTAAGAGTTAAATATTTCTGGACAAGTATTTAGAAGATAGTTTCAACTGGAAACTATAGTTAAAAGTACAATTGAGTAAAGTGCAAAAATATTGATCTTCAAATCATTGCTTATATATTTTGCGCCCGTTGAGTTAGTAGTTCTGAATTTAGAAGAAGAGTACAAGGTAATATACAAACTGAATGTTAAGGTCGTGAATTCTTGCCTATTGAAGTGGTTCGGA